GGGACTTTTAATACTATGTTAAATAGAAATGATGAAGAGTGAATATCTTTGTCTTGTTCCTGATTTTATTTTATTTATTTATTTTATTTTTTTTAAGACCATCTACTCAAAGTTTATTGGACTGAACAAAGGCTGAATACACAGATCCAAGCCATCGGGAATCCGTGAAGCTCAGTGTCTATAAGCCACGTTCAGAAAGTGTCCAGAAAAACTTAATAATGTGGAGGGAGTCACCCATTAATCAGTCAGATCCAGGCCTGCTGCTGTTGCTGTGGGGGGGCAGGTGTGCTCACAGGAGCATGGCTTCCGTTCGTCCCGTGGTTCTAGGTGGCGGCTGCCTTGTTGCCTATTCTTTTTTGCTGTTAATGGAGGGACTGAGGATGAAACCCAGGACCTCGGGCACGCTAAGCACGACTCTACCACTGAGCTGTACCCTCCCATCTGCCCTGTTGCTTGTCTGTCCTAAACCCCTGAACCTAACCCAGAGGAGAAGGTCCCTGGGTATGTAATATGCCTGAGGGGGTGACACTGGACATCTCCTGGCCTTCCATTAAATAGAAAGAAAATCTTTTTCTATAAACTTACTGCTTAAAAAAAAGTTTTAAATGACATCTACCTAAAAACCGCAGATTAGTTTGGCATAGTACAAATGTTGTCAAATACAGAATTCCAAGAAACCAATCTGGAACTGATCTGATCATCTGGTGAAGTTCTAACTCATCCAAGAAGCCTAGGAAAAGGCAGAGTCGAGACATCTATTTTAAGCGAACACCATTATTACTGCATCTGCCAAAGCAAAGGTAGAGATTCAGCTGAGCTGGTAAGAACATCAGTGAAAAGGCCTCTTAGTAATAAGAGGGCTGGACTGCAGCCTGCTCTAAATAGAGAGTAAGGCCAAGAGGCAGCGGGCAGCGGGTCCTGGTTCTTTGCTGCCCAGTCCTCAGTACAGGTCTCTCACCCCCAAAACTGAGCCGGGCGGGGGCGGGCCCCCAGGGGAAGGAGAGCAGTGGACCACCCCGACCAGCCAGCACGCACAGGCCGCTCCCTCATTTGTGCATCACACCCCAAAGTCTTTCACGGTTTGGCTTTAGTGAAGAAAAGCAGGAGGGCTGGAATGAAACTACCAACTGTAAAATGATGGCATTGCTGAAATTGTTGATATCTCAGGTGCAGAGGGTGTGCAGACAGGAAGGTTGGGTCATAAGGGAAATAAAAGTCTAGGAAGACCCTTCAGCTTCACAAAGCGACCCACCCAAACAGGGAGGGACAGGCCCTCCCAGCCGAGGGAGCGTCCTGGCTGAGGGCCTAGGCCCGGCAGATTCACGTGGGCAAGAGGCACCCCAGAGAGCCTGTCAGCTCCTCTCAGGGCACTCCACTTTATCGCTCAAGTTTTAAGATGCCAAAAGGAAAAGCCTTTAGGAGGAGGCTAAGGATAACTTCATTATTCCTCGGTTCTCTGTTCCTCCTCCAGCTCCTCTTTGGTCATCATCTTCTTGTACTGGTTTCCCCGCAGCTTCCCGGGGCTGTATTTGAAGGAGAAGGCCTCTGCCCCGTCTTCTTCCTCAGGCTCTGCCTGGGGTGGACCTTCCTCGCTGTCCAGCCCCTGCTCCTCTTCCTGTTTGGCCTCGGCGGCCTGCTCCTCTGCCTCCGCCGGCGACACTGCGGGCTCGTCCGGCCGCGCGGGCTCCTCCGGCCCCTCGGGCGCGGCCGCGGACTCCGCGGCGCAGGGACCGGGTGGCGCGGGCGCCCCGCTGGCCTCGGCCGGGGGCGCGGGCTCCGGGGGCGCGCGGGCAGGCTCCAGGCTCGCGGTAGCCCCGCGCCGCACCAGCAGCCAGGCGAGCAGTAGCGCCAACGCGGTGGCCAGCACGGGCAGCGCGGCCAGCAGCTCGGCCGGCGCCTCCATCGCGCCGCGGCTGCCGGAGTGCCTGCCCGCAGGGACCCCGAGGGAGCCCGCCGCCTTGTTCCTGATTTTAGAGGAAAAACCTTCAGCTTTCAACATTGGCTATGATATTAGCTCTGGGCCTGCCATAAATGGCCTTTATTATGTTGAGACATAGTCCCTCTATACCCGCTTTGATGAGAGGTTTTTTATCATGAATGGATATTGGATTTTGTCAAATGCTTTTTCTGTGTCCACTGAAGTGATCATATGATTTTTATCCTTCATTTGTTAATGTGGTATATTTCATTGATTGGTTTGAGGCTACTGAACCATGCTTTCATCCCTGTAATAGATCCCACTTGATCATAGTGTATGATCATTTTTATGTATTTTATTGAATTTGGTTTGCTAATATTTTGTTGAGGATTTTTGCATCACTCATCAGAGATATTGGCCTGTAATTTTTTTTGGTAATGTCTTAGTCAGGTTTTGGTATTAGGGTAAGGGTGGCTACATAGAATGAGATTGACAGCATTCCCTCTTCTACAATGTTTTAGAATAGTTTGAGAAGAATAATTATTAACTCTCTTTAAATGTTTGGTAGAATTCCCCTTGATGCTGCCAGACCTGGATTTGTTGTTGTTGTTATTGTTGTTGTTGTTATTATTACTGATTCAGTTTCAATAGTAGCATCAGTCTGATCCATTTCTTCTAGGTTGTCCAGTATGTTGTCATATAACTGTTTGTGGTATTTTCTTCCGGTTGTTTTTATTTCTGTGAAGTCAGTTGTAATTTCTCCTTTTTCATTTCTTTATTTTGTTAATTTGAGTTCTCTTTCTTTCTTAATCAGCCTGGCTGAAGGATTGTAAATTTTGTTTATCTTTAAAAAAAACAGCTCTTAGTTTCCTTGATCTTTTCTGTTTTTTTGATCTATATTTTATTTCTGCTATGATCTTTATTTTTTCCTTCATTCTGCTTACTTTGGGCTTTGTTGTTCTTTTTCTAATCAGTTTAGATGGTAGGTTTTTTATTTGAGATTTTTCTTGTTTTCTTGAGGTAGGTTGATATCACTATAAACTTGCCTCTTAGAATTGCTTTTACTGCATTTCAGATTTTGGAAAGCTATGTTTTTATTTTATTTTGTCTCAATTTTTAAAAAATTTTCTTTGATTTCTTCATTGACCCCTTAGATTTTTTAGTACCATGTTGTTTATTCTCCATGTGCTTGTGTTGTTTTTTTTTTTCAATTTTCTTCCTGTAATTGATTTCTAATTTCATACTATTTTGGTCAGAAAAAATGATTCATAATCTTTTGTATCTTCTAAGCTTTGATGAGACTCATTTTGTTGCCTAGTATGTGATCCATACTGGAGAGTATTCCATGTGCACTTGAAAAGAATGTGTATTCTGCTGTTTTGGGATGGAATGTCTTGCAGATACCTATTAATTCCACCTATGTGTCACTTAAGACAAATGTTTCCTGATTGATTTTTATGTCTAGATGATCTGTCCATTCGTGTAAGTCAGGTGCAAAAGTCTTTAACTCTTATTATATTATCTTCAAGTTCTCCTTTTGTGCCTGTTAATATATTGTAGTGAATGTTATATCCTCTTCTTGTTTTGATCCCTTATCATAATAAAATGCCCTTCTTTGTCTTTTGTTACATACTTATTTAAAGTCTCCTTTGTTTGATACAGGTTTTGCTATTCCAGCTTTCTTTTCATTTGTGTTTGCATGAAAAATCTTTTTCCATCCTCTTACTTTCAGTCTGTGTGCATCTTTAATTCTGAAGTGAGTCTCTAAGCAGCATATAGACGGGTCTTGTTTTTTTTTATCCAGTCAACCACCCTATATCTTTGGATTTGAGCATTTAGTCCATTGACATTTAAAGTGATCATTGAGAGGGATGTACTTATTGCCACTTTAAACTTATTTTTTGGTTGTTCTTGTAGTTATTCTCTGTCCTTTCTTTCTCTGTTTTGCTTCTTCCCTGTGGCTTGATATG